AGTTGACTGCATTTATATTTATATGCTCTGTATCTGATTCCTTTGTTTTCTTTTCATTCAAAAAGGACTTATTTATTCATATTATAATCTATTCTTGATTGGGATACTTTAAAAATTCATGGATAAAATCTTGACTGGGGAATTGTGAGAAATTTTAAATGGAGGAAAAGCTCACCTTTTCCAGGTTCCTCAGTTTGGAGGTAGGAAACTTATCTAATTAAATGTCTTACACATATTTAAATTTCCTGGATTGTCCCAAAAATGTCTTTTTACAATTGTTTGGTTCAAATCAGGATCTAAAAGTACATATATTGCATTTGGTTGTTAACATGAGGCTGTTCTTTTTTTTGAGGCAGGATCTTGCTCTGCCGCCCAGGCTGGAGTGGGGTGGCATGATCACAGTTCACTGCAACCTCCCAGGCTCTCAAGCAACCCTTCCACCTCAGCTAGGATAGCTGGGGCTTCAGGTGTGTGCCATCATACTGGCTAATTTTTCACAGAGACAGGGGTCTCGCTATGTTTCCTAGGCTGGCCTTGAACTCCTGGGCTCAAATGATCCACACACCTCTGCCTCCCAAAGTACTGGGATTACAGGTGTGAGCCATCTTGCTGAGCCTGTATGAGCATACTCTATAATAGTCTTGTTTTTCTTTTTTTGTTTTTGGGTTTTTTTTTTTTTTTTTTTTTGAGACAGAGTCTCCCTCTGTCGCCCAGGCTGGAGTGCAGTGGCGTGATCTTGGCTCACTGCAAGCTCCGCCTCCCAGGTTCACGCCATTCTCCTGCCTCAGCCTCCTGAGTAGCTGGGACTACAGGCGCCCGCCACCACGCCTGGCTAATTTGTTGTATTTTTAGTGGAGACGGGGTTTCACCATGTTAGCAAGGATGGTCTTGATCTCCTGACTTTGTGATTCTCCCAGCTCGGCCTCCCAAAGTATTGGGATTACAGGTGTGAGCCACCGCACCCAGCCAGTCTTTTTGTTTGCTTTTTTTGTTTGTTTGCTGTTTTGAGACAGAGTCTCACTCTGTCGGCCGAGCTGGAGTGCAGTGGTGCGATCTTGGCTCACTGCAGCCTCCGTCTCCGGGGCTCAAACAATTCTCCTGCCTCAGCCTCCCGAGTAGCTGGGATTACAGGCGTGTGCCACCACGCCTGGCTAATTTTTGTATTTTTAGTAGAGATGGTGTTTCACTATGTTGGCCAGGCTGGTCTCGAACTCCTGACCTCAGGTAATCCACCCGCCTTGGCCTCCCAAAGTGCTGGGATTACAGGTGTGAGCCACCACACCCAGCCTTTTTTTTTTTTTTTCTTAAAGCACACTCTGTAACAGTCTTTTTTTTTTTTTTTTTCTTTCCCCACAGCCAGTCATATTACTCTTACATAGCATTGGCGTTACAGAATCTTTTGAGATCATCTTTAGTCCTTCTCCTTCTTCCTTCAGGTCTTGAAATACCTTTCCTACTTATCTGCCTGTGGAACTTCAAGGTTCAGCTCAAATGTAATGCCCTCTGTGGTACCTCAGTCTAATGAATTGCTTCTTCATCTTTGTTTCTTTAACACTTTTCTTACCCACTTTAGTTACAGTACTCATAACATCATACTGTCATTTATCTGTTTAGTCTATGGGCACTCCACGTGAGTTAGTATGGAGTGGTGAGAAATAAGGTTAGAGAGGTCAGCAGATGATGAGTGTTTCTAGGGCAAGGATCACATAATATTATTTTATGTCAACATAACCAGCATAGTGCCTAGCTAATAGGAGACACTCCATGAGTGTTTGTAGACCTGGATTTTTAAAACCTGGTTTCTGGAATATTTTATTTAGCTTCCAACTCTTGAGTTTTTTCCTGAACTATGAATTGTTTCCACCTCCAGGAGTTGAAGGCATAACTGGAAATTGTATCCAAGGATGTTCTTTGTTGCTCTCATTCTTTTTTCACTTTCAGGAGCTTTGCTTCTTAGTTCCAGATAATATGAACTTCATTTGACTGTGATTTCATTATTCCTATTTAGGTGAATTAAATTACTCTTTCCCTTGCCATAGGGAACGTCTGTATCAAGGATCTGACAGATGAGAACCAGAGATCTTGGGCTCTTGTTTTTTGTTTTAACCTCTGTAAGTTTAAAAAGGAATTTTAAACATTTGCTGCATGGTCCTGATTTTCTAAAATGAATACAAGTCCCTCTCCTTGAAAATGGTCACCTGGCTTTCACTTTGCATCAGACATTCATTGAAGGGTTCTTAAAAACAAATAAGGCAGAAATGATTCTACTGATCATGTGGCCACTAGATTTGCTGTCTTTTGTTTTACCCTGAAGGACTAAATTCACATTACCCCTTCAGCCTCAAAATCTGCAGTCATCTTTGAGAGCGTCTGTTTGAATAAACATATGGGGAATGGTGTTAAACATCTCAAAAGAGGCTTTGCCTTTTCCTGTCCTCAAGATACGTGGTTTAGTGGAATAGAGGACTAGGATATTTGATTTTCTTCTCTATTGGTCTGATGACTCCTGCCTCTTCCTTTCTTTGAGCTTCAGCTTGTCCATCTTTAAAATGAAAGTGGAAACAACCTCTTGGTGGTTAACTAAGGTTCTGCCATTCATAATTTGGACTCCGTGGCCAGACGCAGAGGGAAGGAGCTATGAGTAGTCGCCGAGAGGCCGCGGAGCCAGCGATGACCGACTCAGCCGAGCCGCCGCCGCCGCCGCCGCTGCGCCCTCATGGCGGCTGCCAAGGACATTGAGGAGGACCAGGATACTTCCATTGAGAATGCAGACGAGTCCAACCATGACCCTCAGTTTGAGCCAATAGTTTCTCTTCCTGAGCAAGAAATTTTAAAACGCTGGGGGAAGATGAAGAGGAACTTTTTTTTTTTTTTTTTTTTTTGAGACGATGTATCGCTTTTGTCGCCCAGGCAGGAGTGCAATGGCGCCATCTCTGCTCCTGCCTCAGGCGCCCGCCGCCACACCCAGCTAATTTTTGTATTTTTAGTAGAGACGGGGTTTCACCATGTTGACGAGGTTGGTCTCAAACTCCTGACCTCAGGTGATCTATCCGCCTCGGCCTGCCAGAGTGCTGGGATTACAGGAGTTAGCCATCGCCCGCGGCCGAAGAGGAACTTTTTAAAATGGGGGCGAAACTGTGATTTGCCTCAGAGAACGATCTCCCTGAATGGAAGGAGCGAGCCACTGGTGACGTCAAGCTCCTGAAGCACAAGGAGAAAGGAACCACCCACCTCCTCATGAGGAGGGACAAAACCCGGAAGATCTGTGCCCGCCGCTGCATCACGCCAATGGTGGAGCTGAAACCCAACGTGGGTAATGACCATGCCTGAGTCTGGAATGACGAGTGCCCCAAGCCAGAGCTGCTGGCCATCCGCTTCCTGAATGCTGAGAATGCACAGAAATTCAAAACAAAGTTTGAAGAATGCAGGAAAGAGATTGGAGAGAGAAAAGAAAAGATCGGGCAAAAAACGATCATGCCGAAAAAGTGGCGGAAAAGCTAAAAGCTCTTTCGGTGAAGGAGGAGACCAAGGAAGATGCTGAGGAGAAACAATAAATCTTATTATTTTATTTTTTTTCTCTCTTTCCCTTTTTTTTTTTTTTTTAATTTTACCCTGCCCCTCCTTTTTGAATTGTTTTTATTTGGTTTCGTTTTTACGAAGGATGTTATATAAAGAACTGAATTTAAAAACTAATAACTTGGACTCCATTAGATTTGCAGTATGCAAATGCTACGTATGTTTGGATTTATAATTTTGTTCATCTACTTTTTTTCCACATTTCAAAGCCAGTATTAGCAAGTAGAAAATGTTGATTTCCTGTTTTCTGTCTTCTTCCCATTTATAAATTCCAGTAGCTCTGTTAATCTTAAATGACTTTTCTTCTCTCTCTCTCTTTTTTTTATTTTTTTTTTAAATAGGGATGAGTCCACTCTGTTGCCCAAGCTGGAGTGCAGTGACTATTCACACGCCACAATCAGTGCACTGCAGCCTCAAACCCTTGGCTTCAAGCCTTCCTCCTGCCTCAGCCTCCTGAACAGCTGGAACTACTGATGTGCACACGCGTCCCCAGCTAAACAATCTTACTTGGAGCCGCAGTTAAAAATTAGTGTTTAGGCCAGGTGTGGTTGCTCATGCCTGTAATCCCAGCACTTTGGGAGGTTAAGGCAGGTGGATCACTTGAACCCGGGAGTTCAAGACCAGCCGGGGCAACATAGACTCCAATCTCTACAAAACATTTTTACAAATTAGCCAGGCATGGTGGTGCGTGCTTGTAGTCCCCTGTAGTCCCAGCTATGTGGGAGGCTTATGCGGGAGGATCGCTTGAGCCCAGGTGGAGGCTGCAGTGAGCCGCGATTGCGCCACTGCACTCCAACCTGTGTGACAGAGTGAGGTCCTGTTTCAAAAAATTAAATAAATAAATAAGATTTAGAGTTCATCTTTTGCATTCACATGGGCACTGTGGTGTGTGTTCATCTTCTCTTCCCTCTTCCTCCCAGTAGAGTCTATAAAGTGCTCTCAAAAAACTTGTGGGACTGACAGTGCTGAAGAAATGTGGCTCCATATCCAAAGATAAAACTTAATTGTCTCATTAAGCTATGTTAAAGATTTGTTCTCAGGCTTATGGGTGCATCAAGGATTGCTAGTTGGATTCATCTTGAAAATCAAGGTATCTGCTTCAGTCTTGGTAGCAGAAATTAGACTAATAGCTCCTTATTCATCTTGTCCTCCAAAAGTTGGTGCAATAAAGCACAGAGGCCTACTACACCTCTGTTGTGTACAGATATTTCTAATAAATCCATATCCTTCAGGGAGACAGAGAGCTGCCCTTTAAGTGTTTCCAATTGAGTAGCTTTTTGCTTCTGGACCTTCCCCTTCCATTTTTTCCACCCTCATTCTATTTGTAGTCACTTTACTAAAATCATTTAAGAACTACATTCAATCCACAGGGACTGAGAAGAAAATATTAATCTATGGGGTTGGGGTGGGGGTGGGAAAGCTGGTCAGTATATTTATGATGGAGTAAAGTGTGTCATGGCAGTGGCAGAATATTTATTTTTAGACAAATTGTAGCCTTTTTCCTCCTCTAAATCATTGGTCACTTTCTCTTTAGGCCCTACTTTGTAAGATGACCCTAATGCTCTCTATTGGTTAGAAAAGCCCTCTAGTAATGGTAGTAGCAATATTTGCCATTCAGTTATATGGCTGCTAAGTGACAGATTCCAGTCCTACTCCAGGAAGGGTCTCCTTTTCCTGGAATACTGCTGTAAAGTGTGCATAGCCTTTAAGTTATTCCTAAAGCTAAATTGGGAGGGGAGATTTCATAGAATGAACCATTTGACACAATTAAAAAACATTTATCCTCAGGAATCAGTTTCTCTTGGGGGCCATTCCACCTTCTTAGTGGAACTTGCGCTTTTATTGTGTCCTGATACTTGAATGTTTAGCTGAATGTTTGACATCATGTGCCATTAGCACGTGGCTCCAATTTGCCAGCCTTTGGGGTACTGTGGTAAGGTATGAGTGTGTATGTGCACACTTGGTGTTATACACTCTGCTGCATGCTGCTGGTGTGGTTCACGAATCAGGGAAGCTATAGCATGATGTTGTTTAAGATCTTCCGAGTTTTAGGGGAATGAAGCAAGAAGCTTAGTTTGAAGGTGTAAACTTTTGGCTAAGGATGAGGATGGGGGGTGGTGAAATTAGTAACTTTTGCTTTGTAAAAGGATTTTGCAGACTGTTTCCTTTCTCCAAACTAATGTGTATAATCAGAGCATTCTTTCAAACTAGTATAGATAACCAGAGCATGGAAATGAAGGGCTAAAGTAAGCCCTGCAAACAACTCTTAGCTCTATGTATTAATTTTCTTAGAGGAATTTGCCTTGTCATTGTTTATTATAATGACAGAAAACAGGGAATCCCACTCCTGCACGTCCCCCATACCCCCCAGAAAAACCCTACATACCTAACATTGAGTTTCCGTTTTGTCTTTCCCTTAGGCCAAAGGTTTTGGCTTTAAATTTTCTAATCCAGTACGGAAGACTATAGCATAGAATAACTCTTGGAAAAAAAAAAAAAGAAAAGAAACCCCATATACCAGAATCCTTTTAAATAAATTATTTTTAAATGCTGCCTTTTAATTTTAGGATCTTAGCTTAAATAAGACTGGAAGAGAATTTCCCATGAAATGGTTCCCATAATAGTTTTCAGAAAGACGTGCTAAGCAGTATTGTTAACTAAAGAAAATAAGTCTATCAGTTCCACTTAGATAACCTTTGGTAATAAACGAACTCCATACACGTTGTGACCTTAGAGCCTGAACTTTGTAATCACATGACCAGCTTGTAAACTGACCTGTGAGGATGACTGTCGTAGTCCCGGCTTAGAGAAATTGACCAAGTGTCGGAAGGGTAGTCATCAAGCTGGACTTGTCCTGTAATCTCTGTTTCTTCATGGCTGCAATAGAACTTTTCAACAGACTACAAGAAGCATGAAATGGAGACATGGGAAGGTAAGGAACAGTCTGGGGCCCAAATCTAAGGGTTAGAAATTTTCTTTGAAGGTTTAGAGCAAATAGCCTTGAGGGAGAAGGGAGGCAGTCCACAGACAACTGTTTTTTTGTGTCTTTGCAGAATTCAGCTAGAAAGTTTTCATGTATGTAGCAAGTGGCTGTAAATGTTTTGGAATGGAGAAAGTAATTGAGAGAGAGAACTGCAGTGAATTCATTGTTGTGGTTGATGAAGAGCAGAAGAAGGGGGATTCATTTAAATTTTATAGTGACTTGAAAAAAATTAAATTTACGTTTCAGTACGTAGATAAAATTTACATTAAAAATTGTTCTGTGTATTTCTTGACAGAAGTTGTTTATATTTTCAGTTCCTTAATCCAGTTCGCTATCTGCCAAAACCTTATTTACTACCGTTAATTATAGATAGAATTGGGGTCATGAGGCCATTGATAAGGCAACCTCATCCTCTGTGGGGGAACTTCTATACTTTACAGTTTGGGATATAAGACTAAGCCATTGCTAATTTCTTTTTAAGTGGGTTGCTTTTTAAATGGGTACATTTTCTGCATGTGTGTATATGTAATGAATAGTCACTAGTGTTACAACTTGTTTATTTGGGATAGTCTCCTAGTTACGTGAGAAACCCCACTTTTCTATAACTTTATTATTTAGGCCAGGAAAGACAGAGCTGAAGGAACAGATAAAATGGATGAATCTTAGTATTAAAGTTTTGCCATGTTTATAAAGTACAAGCTAAGAGTTTGCGAAGAGTTTGATTTTCTTAAAGGCAAGCACTGCTGAGAAGAGTTCCCGACTCTTTGAAGCAGTTGATAAATTTCTAGGACTGGCATTAATCCTACGAAATAGCTGGTCCTGGGAAAGCTTCCCAGCCCCTTGCAGCATGGCTAACATCTGCCATAGGCAGCTTTGCAGTTTCGTTCTCACTCTGGGGATGCACAAACCAGGAAAGTGGGACCCCCTCTGATAATAGCATTCTTTTTAGTAACCTTGGGCTTCTTTCCTCCCTTATATGTTGTCCCCCAGCACCTTATATACCAGAAGTACTGGTTTTTAGTGTAAGTTAGCAGAAACAAAAGAAAGTTCGTAGAAAATACCAGTTATATGTAAGGCCTGTTACTTATCTTGAACAGCCTCCTCTCCCAATATGCGCAGAAATTCTTTGTTAAATTATCCTGGATATACTAGCTTTTCCAAAAGGGAGTAGTTTAAGAAGTAAGATTTGCTTTGGATCTATTGGACAGGAGTTTAGGAGCTGGCAGAGTCCCAGAGCAGTTATTATATGAGTTTAGAAGGAATGACTCTGGAGTATTTAGATTTTTTTTTTTTTGACCAGCTTGAGTCTCTTAGTGATATGTAGTCCGCTAGCTCTGAAAGAGAAAAAAGTTTTGCACAGGAAGTTCTCCCCTGGTTCATATTTAAGTTTTGAAACTTCAGTTTTTCTTAGCCATTCAACTGCAGAAAATAACTTACGGTACCAAAACAAGAACTTTCATAAAATAAGGAAATGAATTTAAAACTGTTCACCTGAATCTTTCATTGAAAATTCTAGTAAAGCAAAATGAATTATCCCAGTTGAAGGAGGTTTTTGGAAGCTTAAGAGGCAAAATCAACTGCTTACAAAAGAGGCCAGTGAAAATGCTACTGTAAAAAAAGCATTGCCTGGTTTTAGATATTGGGCCCTTGTCCATTTAAATTAACCTTTGTCACAGCTGGGCATACAAATGTTTTGTTTTAGTTCACAGAGGGTTAACTCTATTCAAGCTTTCACTGTGGCAGGCCTGATCTGTGGAGTCATACAATCTGGTCTTTCAGCCCTGCCAGTCGCTAGGCAGGAAGTCTTATTTCTTAAGCTATCTTTCAGAATGGGGGTTGGGATTTGGAGAAAGGTGGGGGAAGGGCTTTGGAGCATCTGTAAGGATCAATAACAGAGAGAGAGAGCCGCAAGAGAGGCCATTGTGCACACTTCAAGATAGATGCAGCCCTTGTGCATGGCCCCTGCCTGGCAGGACAGACACCTAAAACCAAAACAATGACACCGAATGAATTCTCTGTGAAAATTAGATTGCCGCTTAAAGGAGAAAAATACTTGAGGGCCCTTTCAACGTTGGGGAATATTCTCATTCCTCAACTTGCAAAGATTAGGCAACCCCCACTAGAAATAACTCCAAATTGATTTTTAAATGCCTTTTGTCCTCATGCTAATACTGTATTGAATTGGAGAGGGTGATCATTTTGGTCTTGGTCACATGCATCAAAGCATTGAGTAAGTAATCTTTTTTTCTTCTCTCTCTCCCCCTCTCTCCTCTCTTCCTCCCTCCCTTTTTCTCTTCTTTTTTATTCTAATGTTTGCTTTACCCTATTGGTTTTGGAGGCATCATTAAGGGAATGAAAAAAATAAGATTTGGTTAGGATTTGAGTAACACATGTGTGAAATCCCTCCCCCAGCAGCTGGTATTGGCTCTCGAAACTTCAACTGAGCTAAACAGATGTTCCTAGTGTGTTGTTTTGAGATAATTTAAACCAGACTTATAGTCAAGGACTCTACAAAAATCGTAGATTTGATTTTTAAATGCACTGAAGTTGTGATATCATACTACATCTTAATGCATAGTATATGGGTGTTAAGTAAAAACACCTGAGCTTAGGAAAGTGCGCAATTCCGCCAATGAAATTGTGATATTTAAAACACTACCAAGTTTGTTATTCTTTTACTTCAACCCAGATTTTCATTTTTCAGATTCCCCTTTCCCAAACGCTGTAACATTCCTGTTTTACTGTATCCTTTTCCAGAAGACTAAGGCATTAATTCAGTAGGTACTTTTTTGATGCAAATTATTTATGGCAGTTGGAAAGAGTAATGAAGTCATTGCCACCTCTCTTCCACTAAACCTCCAAAGTACTGGTGACAACTGACTGGTAACAGCTGAGAAAAAATGGAATCCTAAACAGCCTTAAATAGTCTCCCAACTTGAAATCTTCCAGGAGTAAATGCATAAATGAACTGGGGGTGCATAATGTGGCTTGCAGACAGACAAATGGAATAAGGGGAGGTGGGGAGACCTGCACTTGAAATTAGCAAGTTTAGTTTATTCTAAGCTTCTTGAGTTGAAAACTGACATATTCTGGACAATTTTGACCTAGGAAAAATACCTGGATGCCTTACACTGTCTGGATGTTTTTAACCTGTCTGTATTCAGTACCCTTTTGCTGGGGAAAATGATGTACAGGAAGAAAATCTGATTTAATCACCACAAACAGTACCACCTTGACACAATTGATTCTGCGCCTCTGATACATTGTAATTCTCCATTAATATTTAAACCAAAGAATTGATTGTTTTAATGGACATTTTCCAGGGACATACAAATATTACTAACAAAACTTGGAAGTTCAGTTACCATTTCCGTTGTATTAAAATGGGGTATGAAACCTACCATGACCCTTTTGAACAATGTGGTCTTTAATGTGTATTAGGGGGAGGGCCTAGTGAAGGAAAAGCCATAAAAGTCCTCAGGGTTCAAGATGAGGTTGAGATTTTGGCCCATTGCTTTTGTCATTTTCACACACAAACATCACTGCAATCATGTTTGATTTAGCATCCTTAATACAATGAGGTGGGAGAACAAAAGGATATCAGAGGCACAAGTATGGAAGCCAAACAATCTCCCACCTCGCTGCCACCAATTTTTTCACATCATTCTTTTTTTTCTGTTCCCCTGCTACTGGGGTTTCTTTTTAAGCCAAGGAAATTAATCTATTTGCAGGAATCTTCTTTTTGCATGCCTCAGTAGTTTGCTTGGGCAGTTGAAAAGCTACATTTCAAATGGTTTTTAGCCATGTGAAAAGTCGTTTCCTAAAAACTTGGGGAAAACACTATAATTAGGAAAAATGCATCTACCCATATTTCAAGGTTAAGAGTGGGGCGAGGGGTGGCGGGGGGTGTTCCCACTGCACAGCTGTTTTACATATTTTGAAAAGCCTGATAGATGTAAAGGTCATTGCTAACTCTAACCGGGTCTTGATGCTCACACTGTGATCCAAGGACCTTGCATTAATTAGGATGAGAAGCATGGCAGGTCAGGAGTCAACCGGCTGGTGAGCCTCCATGGATTGTTAGTGGGACCAATCAGAATTCCTGTAGGATTTTTAAACCATTAAAAAAAAAATAAAAACTGCTGCTGCTTCTGTTGCCTCTGGATGGATCCTTTGGTCTGTATGGCAAGGACTCGTCCCCTCCTGCCCAGATGGCTCATAAAAACTTGGCTACATATATGGCTTTGCTACAGGCTTCCTGGTGTTGGGGAAAGAACCTCATCAGCTTGACTCTGTCACTTGGCCAAGTCACTTGACCTCTATGAACCTCAATTTCCTCATATATGCAACAGAGGATAGTAATACCTATCTCATATGACTGCTATGGGAATTAAATAAGAAAACTGTCGAGAGTGCCCAGAACATGCTTAACATGGCTTGAATTGAAATGAGTTTCAAAGAGGAGCAAATTTAGGGAAATTAAGAAAGAGAATTCTTGGGTGAGCCTGTGGCTGGTGGTGTTTACACTCTAAGGTCTCCAGGGAGTGCCTCCATTCGGTAGGCAACAATAAGGGAGGGGCTCTTTGGAAATTTAGCCTTGAAAATGCTGTACAACCAGTGGGGCCAGCTGCTGAGCCTTCTAGAACCAATTGCAATGTTAATATGCTATTCCTGTGGTAGTGATAATTAGTCACGAATGGGTCCCTGCAAAATTTGTGGCCTTTTCTCTACAGAAAGTCTTTTACAGTTGTGTTGATTGGAAGAAAATGGAGAGGTGATGGGCTTTAAGGTAACAGAGATGTTAAATCATAATCAGGAAAAGAGGGGTAATAAAGTTAGTCTTAATTTCCTGTGTTTTGATAGATAGATGCCAAGACAATTGCCATGACCATGTTTAATAGCCCTTTCTCAGGAGCTTTACCATGAAGTAGTGAAGTTGGGAATGTTGT